GTAAACCCTAAACCCCGTTCTTGATCGTCGATAATTGCTGAAACCCAGGTTACACTCGAAACCCTGGACACCAAACTACCTAAATCCTAAAGCCCCCTGTACCCCATGTATTCCTGAAGCAAAGCACACACCAAAACTTGACAGGACCCTTCAATGCACCCGGATGACCCTTGGATGCAACGATCAGGCCAGGCACTGCATCTAAGGGTGTTTTGTGTGCATCCAAGGGTCATTGAGGGGTACTGGTCTGGTGGGATCATCGCCTTTGCTTCTGTCCCAGTGCCAGTCACTCGTCGCGAAGTTTGAAGTTGTCAGCAAGTGATGCATTCAACTTAAACGTTGCATTCAAGGCTCCAGGCACCAAGGCACCCAGGCTCTCAGGCTCCAAGGCCTAGTAGAGTGTGCATTTTGACCCTACCCACACAGTGTACGCTGCCGTTACGTCACTGTGGGCACCGTTGGCCGGGTGTCGGGCCGCAGGAACTCAGCCTTGAGGCCAACCTGCCAAGGCAGTGGCAGATGACAGCTGGGCCAATGGGCTAATGCGCCAGCTGGGGCAAAAATCTGGGCCAGGGATCCTGTTGTCCCGCCAGATTGTTCCTGCAATGAGGGGGAGGCTTTACTGCTGGGATCATCGGCTTTGCTTCTGTCCCAGTGCCAGTCACTCGTCGCGAAGTCTGAAGTTGTGCACGTGCAGAATTCAAACTTTGCATTCAAGGCTCCAGGCCCCCAGGCCCCCAGGCGCCCAGGCTCTCAGGCTCTCAGGCTCCAAGCCCCTGAGGCTGCATGTCTACCAGCCCTCCGTGCGTCTCCAGGCACTTTGAGGCAGTGGCTGGATGGCTGGTGTTCGGGCTTTCAGAGTGCCACCGATGCCAGCACGTTTTGGTCTCGGGGCGACCAAGCTTCCACAAAGATTGATACAAGTCTTCAAACTCGTCATTGTTGTTCGTCGATGATAGTTGAAACCCAGGTTACACTCGAAACCCTCGTTACCAAACCACCTAAATCCTTAAAGCCCCCCTGTACACCCTGTAAATTCCTTAAGCAAGGCACACACCAAAACTTGACAGGACCCTTCAATGCACCCGGATGACCCTTGGATGCAACGATCAGGCCAGGCACTGCATCTAAGGGTGTTTTGTGTGCATCCAAGGGTCAATTGCTGAAACCCAGGTTACACTCGAAACCCTCGACACCAAGCCCCCTTTATCCTAAACCCCACCCTGTACCACCTGTATTCCTTCAGCAAAGCACACACCAAAACTTGAAAGGACCCTTCAATGCACCCGGATGACCCTTGGATGCAACGATCAGGCCAGGCACTGCATCTAAGGGTGTTTTGTGTGCATCCAAGGGTCATTGAGGGGTACTGGTCTGGTGGGATCATCGCCGTTGCTCCTGTCCCAGTGCCAGTCACTCGTCGCGAAGTTTGAAGTTGTCAGCAAGTGCAGCAATTTAAACGTTACCGTTGCATTCAAGGCTCCAGGCACCCAGGCACCCAGGCTCTCAGTCTCCAAGGCCCAGTAGAGTCGCTGCCGCCATGATTCCAGGCACTTTGAGGCAGTGGCTGGACGGCTGGGGGTCCGGCTTTCAGAGTGCCACCGAGGCCAGCATCGGTGCCACTCATGCCCGTTTTGGTCTCGGGGCGGCCAAACTTCCACAAATATTGTTGGTGGGAACTGATTGCAGTGGCATTGATGCACCGATCCATGGCCTTAGGGAGCTCGGCATCACGCACCAGCATTTGTTTGGGAGTGAGGTGGCTGCTGGTCCTCGGTCGGTTATCGAGGCTAATACCAAGCCCTCGGTACTGTTCCACCGTGTCCTGGATGCTGACAAGGCACCGTTCGTTCACCTGTACATTGCCGGCTTCAGCTGCAAGCCGTTCAGCCTGCTCCACAATAAGTCAAGGCTCCTCAAGGAAAAACAGGCTCAAATATTCTATGGGGGCGTTGCACGCATCCAACTTGTGCGGCCCTCGTGCTTCGTGCTGGAGAATGTGTCAGGCATAAAGCGTGTTTCTGCAAAGGTTCTGGCGGCACTCAGGTCCACAGGCTATCATGTCGAAATGATTTTGATGAACCCTGCCGAGCTACAGGAGCCCATCCAGAGGCCTAGGTACTACTTCATCGGGGTCCGGCAAGATGTGAGCCTCATCTCGCCCATGTCGTGCTGGCTTCGTGAGGCTTGGGCGGAAGTCCTGGATGCAGTTGCTTCCGGAGACGCAGTCGATCTTTTGGATAGACTGCTACCGGCGAGCCACCCTGCTGTGGCACAGTACCAGGAAAGCCGCAAACGGAAGTGGTCGCAAGCTTCCAACCGTGGGTTCCCAGGCTCCCAGGCTCCATGCTCCCATGCTCCAAAGTGGAAAGAATTGCACAAGATGTGCAAAGCTTCAATGCAGCAGGGCAGCCGGTTGAAGAGTGAGAGTCGGAGGCCTTGCACTGAGAGCGGAGTCGCCTGCTGCGCAGACACGTTGTTCCTGCATTTGCCGCGTGAGCGTGGTGCCTGGGACATCATTTGCACAAAGCATGCAGGCAGTAAGGAGCTTGTCGCGGATGTATCCCAGAATGTGAACCGAGCCCGGGTGCGGACCGATGGCTCCCTGCCTACTGTTACACCTGGGGCCGTACTGGTATCCGCACGAGCTGGAAGGATCATTAGCACGCTTGAAAAAGTCATGCTGCACGGTTTTCCAATTCACCGTATGGTTTTTCCCAGCAAAGTGACCGACAAGGAGCTCGCCAGCATGGGCGGCAACACGATGCATGTGCAGATTGTGGCCGTGGCAATGAAGTTTGCGCTTGCGTTGGTAAACTGGAGCCTGCCCAAAGCTTCCCGGCCGACAGCCTTGTGCAGCACCGTTGCTGCGCCAAGCATAACTGCTTCAGTTGTGCTCGGCGCAGCAGCGAAATGCCGCAAGCGCCATGGCAAGCCACGGAAGGCTCCCAAGGCGCGAAAGGCCGCATCGGCGCAGAAGCCTCCAAAGGCACCAAAGGCTCCAAAGGCTCAGAAGGCTGAAGGCATGTCAGCTTTGGCAAAGCGTTGGCAGAAAGTCTTGAGACCGCAGGCAGCAAAGAAGTGCTCGAGGAAGGGTGCCACGGCCACATTGGCGTCGCGTCTTGCCCATCGCTGGGCAAAGTAGTAGTCATTAATTCGTCATATTATGACGGAGAATGGCATGCGTTTTCTAATTTGGCCACTCGGAGTTGGCATCATAGACTGACTTAGGTGAGGCCGGGTGCAAAATTCGGGAAAGCCTGCTCCGAGCAGTACAGATTATTTGGACTGGGTCACCCTGCCGACTCCCAGTGAAACAAACCGCCGCAGTGTGCATAGGAGTTCGCAGTGTTGTGCCATTCGGGCTGCTTGACTCGGGGTAATACCCTCACGTCTGCCAGGCAGCTGCTCGCTGTCGGATCGAACGGGAAGCTGGAGGCGCGGTTCTCGGGTTAGTCGGAGTCGGTTGGACCAGTTGCAGAGTCTGATTCAGTTCCAGTCTTAGCACGGTTGCCACGGTTGCGTTTGCTGGTCATCGTAAGTGCTGCGCGGTCGCTTCAGGCTCCCAGGCTCAAGGCTCCAAGGCCCCCAGGATTTCAATGCCAGTGGGTAGCCGCACCCTGCGTGGTCTTGCCGCTCGGTTCGGACTACGCTCCCGGAAGCAGGACCGGACGCCGACAAAAAAAAGACGAGGTCCACAAGGATCCGTGCCTGCGGCCCCGAAGAAGCTTCGGCTCGAGTCCGGCGAAGGCCGGGCTCAGGAGGGCGACGACGACACCGGAAAGGGATGTGGCGATGTTGGTCTCGCGACTGAGAGCGATGCAGAGCATTTGGCTCGCCATCGTGGTGGCGACGAGAAATGCAGCCGATGCAAGCTGCCCGGTTCAGAAACCCTAATTTTAATTTAAGTTATTATTTAATTTATAATTTTATTTAATATTTAAAGAAATTTAAATCATAAATATTTAAATCATAAATGGTCTTATTATTAATAGGGTTTCTGAACCGGGCAACTAGACATACTACATACATACATACTTACATGCCTGCCATGCATGCATACACATTACATGTCAATCTATTTTTTCATTTTGGTTCTTTATCATCTTGCTGTCGTGTTTCTCTCTCTCTCTCTCTCTCGGTGGCTCTCTCTCTCTCTCTCTCTCTCTCCGTCGCTCTCTCTCTCTCTCTCTGTCTCTCTCTCTCTCTCTTTCTCTCTTTCTCTCTCTCTCTCTCTCTCTCTCTCTCTCTCTCTCTCTCTCTCTCTCTCTCTCTCTCTCTCTCTCTGTCTCTCTCTGTCTCTCTCTGTCTCTCTCTCCTCTCTCTCTGTCTCTCTCTCCTCTCTCTCTGTCTCTCTCTCCTCTCTCCTCTCTCTCTCTCTCTCTCTCTCTCTCTCTCTCTCTCTCTCTCTCTCTCTCTCTCTCTCTCTCTCTCTCTCTCTCTATCTCTCTCTCTCTCTCTCTGTTGGATCGTTATTGTTTGTGGCAGACTTGCTACTTGACTATGTTGCAGTTGCTGGTTGGTTCTTGCTTCCGGCATTCTCGACTTGATCTCGTCCGTTTGCATACAATCCCAACATGTCAGTCAGGTTCCTTCGCTTCCAGGAAGTTTGGAGCAAAGCCGGAAGCCTCACCCACACGTCTTGGGGCAAGCAGCAGCGGACAGTTTGGCTGGGCCAGAGACCAGCTCGCCGAGGAGGCGATTGGGGCATCGGCTGTCACTTTTGTGCACACTTGATGAATGTTTTGGCACAGAACCCAGCAGAGCGGAAGAGGTTGCAGTCCGGCCGAATTGTGCAGTGTAGTGCGAGCGGATAGCCCCTTTGTGATCAAATTAAGGCTGACCGTGACCAGCCCAACTTTCGCAGCCCTAAATTCCTAAGGCTGGGCAGTCGCCTCTCTACCAAGTGGGGTGCCTATGAGGTCCGATCAAGGACCGCATCATGTTGTCGTTGTCAGCTGTGATTTAAGGCATCAGTCGCAGACTTTGGCAGGAGTGCGATGCAGGCATGCTGCATACACGCTCACAGCAAGACCTTCGTTCACCAGGTGGCCACGAAGGTTTACCTAGCTCCTGACACGCCGATCTCACAGTGCTTGCCTTACAGCATCAAGCATCAGCACCTCTTCTCCCGCAACGTTCCTCAGCCGGCAGATTGGCTGCGAGCGTGGCGGGCGTGCCGGACAGCATCTTCTTTCAAAGGTGCCGTGAAATTATATTCCACGGAAGACTTCGCTGCTGGCAGGAACACGAAGCTTGACAGTGTGAGCCAGGATGCAGCACTTTAAAAGGCCTAAGGTTTCAGATTGTTGACATTTTATTTTGTCACATTTAAATTTAAAATTTGACAAATAATTTAATTAATCATCTGAGGTCTCAAGAACATGATTCTTGTTATGCACTGGGCTGTCAAGAGTGTTCGCAAGCAGCGTCTCGAACAAGCCACCAGCATCAGCTTGTCCGTGGACGACCGCAAGGAGTATCGTTTGGTGAGGTACCGTTGCGATGTTCCACCGCGCACTGCCAAGCAGTCAGCGGCTCCAGTCTCCCAAGGTCCCCAAGGCTCCCAAGGCTCCCAAGGCTCGGAGGATGGCCCGCTTGTCGCCGATGGCTTGCTTGGGGTCTACAAGACAGGTGCCAGTGTTCCTGAAAAAACATTGGAGGAGCACGATGCGGACAAGAGTCAGGTGATGGCAGACAGCATAGGCATAGTCATTGACAGGGCCTGTCAGGATCCGGAAGGCAAAACTGACGAGGAGTCCTGCAGCCGCTTGAAGCTGCACGTGCGGCACTTTGCAGCCGATCAGTGCACATCTGCCCGGCAGTGTGGAAGGTTGTTGGTCACTGGCGGCCAGTATCCTAACCTGGTCTGGGTAAGCCATGATCCTGCGCACCAGGTTCGTATTGCCTACCAGGACCCTCTTCACGCCATGCCCGAGTTCCAAGCCCAGTGGGAGCGTTTGTTTGCTCCCGGCAAGGGCAAGCATGCGCTTATCCCGGACATCCAGAACTCAGAAGTCTGGAAGGCCAGGCTCATGGCGGCCCAGCAAGAGGTTCTCAGGCTCCATGGCTCCCAGGCTGGTGTGGAGAAGGTGATCCTAGCGTTGTCGTTCTCCCAACCTCGGTTTGACTCGTCGGCCACACCAATGCTGAAGTACTTGTGCATGATTCGTGCGATGGCGGTCTTATGTGCTATGCAGGCTGCTGACGAGTCTTGTCCTTATGTCAAACAAATTTTAAAATTATTAAATTTAATAATTATTATTTATTTTAATTTAATTATTGTGTATTAAATCTTAGTCTTAGTATGGATTGTATTAATGCATGTATGTTCGGATGTATGTATGTACGTAATTATTATTTTAATAAATTTAATAATAATAATAATAATAATAATTTAGATTAATAAATATTAATGACAATGATTAATAACTATTTAATAATATATTAACTTTTATTCAATAATAACTAAGTATGTAGTCTTAGTATTATGTATATGATATGTAGTATGTATGTATGTATGTATGTATGTATGTATGTATGTATGTATTAATGCATGGTAAATCACTTTCAATGTGTAGTATCTAAATTGAATTGTATGTATGTATGTATGTATGGCATGTACGTATGTATGTATGTATGTATGTATGTATGTATGTAAGTATTATGTATGAGTATGTATGTATGCATGTATGTATGTAGTATGTATTATGTAAGTAAAGCATGGATGTAAGTATGTATGCATGTATGTATGTATGTAGGTATGTATGTATGTATGTATGTAGTATGTATGTATGTATGTGTAGCGTTAAGAAATTTAAAGTATGTATGTGTGTATGTATTATGTATGTATGTATGTTTGTATGTATGTATGTATGTATGTATGTATGATACGTATGTATGTATGTATGTATGTATGTATTGTATTGGCATTGTATGTATGTATGTATGTATGTATGTAGGTATTATTAGACATATTATTATTAACATAATACAATGTATGTATGTATGTATGTATAGTATGTATGTATGTATGTATGTATGTATGTATGTATGTATGTATGATGTATGTATGTATGTATGTATAGTATGTATGTATGTATGTATGTGTGTATGTATGTATGTATGTATGGTATGTATGTATGTATGTATGTATGTATGTATTGTATGACTGAGTATGAACTAATTTAATAATAATAAATTAAATTATTTTAAACATTGAATGTTTGTATGTATGTGTGTATGTATCGTAGTATGTTATGTATGTATAGTATGTATGTTTGTATGTTTGTATGTACGTATGTATGTATGTATGTATGTAATTTAATGTATGTAAGTATTATGTATGTAGTATGTATGCATGTATGTATGTAATGTAATAATAGTATGTATGTACTCTACGCATGTATGTCATGTATGTTGAAATGTCCGTTGTATGACACACAGGAGAGAAACACGGTCGAGATTCGCTCCCGAGCAGAGCGCGCCTTGCAAAACATGAATGCAGCAGCCCTCATGCGCTGTGGACTCACTTGCGACTACACATCTGAGTGCCTGGGTTTCTTGCGCAGGAACTTTGACATTGAGGATCCAGATGTATCCTGCACCTGGAAGAGTTCACCAAGCGCCAGCGGTTCTTATTTGTGGATGGATACATCCTCTCCGACAGCTCGCAGGTTCCCAGTTCCGTGGACGGCTCCGAGGCTCCAGGCTCCCAGGCTCCCAGGAGGTGTGCAACCCAGTTAGTTTACGAGGAGATCCAGACACCAGAGCCGCAACTACCCTGCAAGTTTGTCGTCGTCATAGCGGTTGTGTTCCAGTAGGCTTCGCTGGTATGCCCGCCGTGGCAAACCTAGGATCTTCTATGGCAACAGAGTCCACTACCTGTGCACGAAGGCCGGCATTTCTGATGTAAGGCAGATCATGGGAACTATGGCGCACGTGGTCGAGGCGATGCTGGAGCGTTTGCGAGTAGATCTGACGGAGGATGAGATCGCCGTGGCTCTGCAGGTATTCCACCTTCGGCTGTGGCAGGAGACGAACCGACAACAGGAGCTAGTGGACTCTACACGCAAGCTCTGTGATATGCTCAAGCTTTCGCACGGTACAGCCGTGCTGTTTGGACGATTTGCTCGCAAATTGCATCCTCTTCTAGAAGCAGCTAAGTCAAAGGACACAGGCTTCGGGAACAAACATGCGTGGTCTTGGTTGCTTCGGCCAGCGTGGCGTGCACGGCATGCACACAAACTTCCATGGACAGAGGATTGTCATCCCCTCATTGCTTTCTTCTTGTCCTTGAAGATCAACACGACCACGCTGGAAAGGGATTTGGGACACTTGCTCACACAGCTGGAGGCGCATTCCGGACCCCTCACTCCAAATGGCTCAACCATTGCCTCCATCCTCGAGGTGGCAGTTGAAGGTCCCCAGCGAGAGGAAGAATTTTTCCGGAAGCCGGAGAGCGAAGGTGCCGTGCTGACCCCAACTGACTTCGGGGTTCTTTGTGATGAACTGTGGATTCGTCACTTTGGGCGTCGGTTCCGCATGACCTACAACAAAGAACGAAAGCAGGGGCCCAGCAAGCCACGCCAGGCACGTTCTGGAACTCTGGCTGCAATTGTCAGAGGCCGTGAAGCAGCCGCCGCCGAGGCAGCGAAGAGAGCAGAGGCAGCTGCTTCGAAAGGCAGGTCGTGGAAGCCGGCCTCTTTCGTGCCGGGCTTGAGCCTGCCTTTGCCGGCAGCGTCTGCCTCTGCCCAGAACAGCGTTGCTGGCACACGTTGGGCTTTCGCCCGCCCCACACCAGATGCCCTCAAGCATTTGGAGAATTTCCGTGCACGCACACAGCAGAAATATGACGGTGACTCAGCAGCACAACGGTTGCTTTCCGTGCTAAGTCATTTGAAGTGTCATACACATTGTCATTGTCATCCAGCCAAGGTCACCAAGAGGAAGCGCGGAGACGATCCTCTGGCAAGATTGCTTACACAACAACGGCGGCACGGCTTGGCGGTTTGCGCATGGTGCAGCACGGCCACGAGAAGGATCGGTCATCCGTCTTGCAAAGCATCCTCCGCAAACGAGCTCTGAAGCTATGTCCGGTCTATCGTCGCTACACGGACAGCAAGTCGCTGCAAGGCAACAAGCATTTCCAGATTCTTTGACCGTACGAGTATGAATCCGCCGATATCCTGGTCCTCGAACAACTGTCCGATGTGGAGACGGTCCGCAGCGACCGACTGGTGCCAAGCTTTTAATTAAAATGTTTAAAAGTCGGATGATGCCAGGCTTAGATCGTCACTGCTGGTACACGTTGACGTGTTTCATCCCAGGTTCCTGCCTTGATCCTTGCGTACGGCTGTGGCAAAGTGCTTGCCTCCAGGGAGGCGATTCTGGCATACTTGGACAATCCGACAATTGATGCTGAGAAGTCGTTCTTGTCCTTCAACACAGCTGCAACTTCGAGGCTGGTCGGCCTTGAGATCGCCAAGAGCTGTCAACTGTTGCTCGGTGGCACAGACACTGAGGTTCAAGGGTTTCGGGTTGAAGGGTTTATTGTCTAGGGTTGGGTTTGGGTTCAATTTAAGTTCAATCAGTCAGGACCCGTGCCATCGTCGAGGCCCTGCGATTCTGTGAGAAGTTGCCCCAGTCGAAGTGGCGTGTTGCTATCGGCACACCACTGCCCACTCATTTTGCTACCAAGAGGCGCACCACCTACAAGATCAATGGAGAGGCCGATATCTGGAATTTCCTCCGCACCGTCCGCGGGTTGTCCCAGAAGCGGACATTGTCCGGTGCTGGTGTACAGATGAGGCATTTGCCCCCCAAGAAACCCAAGAAAGTTCGTGCGTCATAGTCCTGTACTGCAGCATTTAATGACAGTGCTCTTTGGCTCCTTGGCTCCTTGGCTCCCAGGTTCGCAGGCAGGAATTTTCCTGGGGTCGAATCATTTTAAGTCTAGTCGTTCGCACAGGAATGTACAGGGGGCCTGTGTCGCAAGGCAGGGTTAACCTTGTCTGGGGCAGCAGGTGCCTGCACCAGAGCCTGTTGCAAGCCCCTGCTCAATACACTGCAGATTGGTGCCAATCCGGGGCGTATTGGCAGGACAAAACGGCCTTGCAATTCACTTCCCCTGCAGTTGTTTAATTGCAGGACAATGGTAGGATGCAATACACCATGGATTGGTGCCAATCCCTGGTGTATTGACGTTCCATTTGTCCCTTGCAATAGCCTTCCTCTTTCATTTCAATACAGGCAGGATTCGCGCCAATCGCCGCGGCGCTACATCCAAGGGTGTTTTGGATGCATCCAAGGGTCCCGGCAGCTCTTGTTCCATGCATCCAAGGGTGTTTTGAGTGCATCCAAGGGTCACGTTAGCAGTGCCTTAATGATGAAAGAAGCACCTGTCACCCTTCAATGCACACGAATGACCCTTCAACGCACGCAACTGACCCTTCAATGCACATGTCACTTGTCACTGCATTGTCTGAGGCTGTTGTCGTCGACAAGCTGGACGTCGAGGGGCAGGCCCAAAGTCGTTTCATTTCAGTCATGGTTGGCTGTGTGGCTGAGTTGTCAGAACATGACAGTTGCATGCGACAGTGTGTTGTGTCAGTCTTGCCATGTCACTATCAGCATCTGATACGAGGCTTCTGCGGCAACAGGCTCCAAGGCTCCCTGGCTCACATAGGCTACTAGGTCCCAATGCCGCCTGCGAAAATGGCCGCAGCCGATCCTAAAGCAGCCGCCGCAGATATGGCACCCACCATCATCGCCGAGCCGTAGGAGAACCCAGTGATAGAGACTCAGTCTCAGAGATCTTGGTCGCGTCTCGGCTACTGTGCGCTGAGGGCAAGTGACTACGAGAAGAGTGTGGAGGCGGCTTCCGCGTTTGAGAAGGATTCCTATTACGAGTCACCGGAGATCGGCTTCCGTGCCTTGTTTCTGGCGACGAAACTGGACGCCATCACATGGCAGCGCAAGGAAGCCATGCGCAAGTTGGGGGCGGCCCCGTCTGCTGCAGACAAGCCTGTGAAGGCGAAGCTGCGCTCATCGCGCCGCCAGCTGACAGAAGCCATTGGGGAGACCCAGTTCGTGGTTCTCACACTGTTCACCAAGAAAAATCTGGCCGAAGCGTGCTCTGCAAGAGACATTGTGGTGGAGGATGGCGGCTACTATGTTCCGCTGTTCTCGGATCCTTGCCAGGAGCTGCCTTTCCACGACGAGGCGAACTGAAGCCTTGAATTCGAGTACATCGGACGCCAGGAAGTCTTTTCATTTATTGTTATTTAATTTTATATTAATTATAGGCTCAGGGGTTCAGAGGTTCAGGGTTTCAAGGGTTCAGGGGTTTAGGGGTTTAGGGGTCCAGGGTATTGCGTCCGATCAAGGCACGTCATGGTGCAGGCCACGACCAGCCGCGCCTGGCAGACCCTTGCACCCGGGCCCGACCTTGGCGGGGGTTTGGGCTTCATGTGCTACACGGCGGTCAAGTCGGAGGAAGGCGGCGGCGGCGGCTTCGACATTAGCAAGGAGGACACATCTGCCCTCGTGAACTTCTTGGCCCGGAACCACGTGTTCGCTGCGCAGGGGGATCCGTTCCTTCCGGATCCCGGTGCATCCCTGTTCCCGGTTTCTTCGTCCACGCACGCAGCGGCCCCGTTGGGTTTTTTTGCCCTCAAGCAGCTCGACATGGACATGCTCGAGTTCAGCTGCGAGGGCGTCATCGGGGTACTTCTGGATGCTCAAGGGCAATGACCTGGCAGAGCGGATCCGCACCGGCAACTTGAAGGTACGCAGGTCCGGGATCGAGATGGTCATCGTGAGCATGAGCAACCCCAGGAAGCACTCAGACATTCTCCTTGAGGCTCAGCGCTCCAAGCTGGTGGAGCACAAACGGCGCTTGAAGGAACAGGGGGACGTCTCCAACAAGCAGCTCCGCCGCGACCAGGATGCCCTCGCTGCCGTTGATGCCCAGCTGAGGCGTCTCCCAGGCTCCTAGGCTCCCAGGCTCCAAGGTCCATGTGGCGCCGGCTTGGTGTCGTCATGTTTAGATGACTCATCAGCAGCATAGTAGGATTTTGATGATTCCTTACTTTGCTGCCAACTTGATTTAAATGGACATGTAAAGCTCAAGCCGCTCGTCGACAAACTGTGGCAGGGCCCACGACTACAAAGGACCGCTGTCGACGGCAGTTTGTGTTTGTTTGCAGCATGTCCTGCACTGCAGCAGTCTTATTGCCTTGCGCTGCACCGCAAGACTCCAAACGGTTCCGTGGAAGGCTACTCGGCTCCCAGGTTCCCAGGCTTCTGTACTCGCGCTCAATGGCAAAAGTGCCGGATTTGCCCACCGCCCCAACCGTTCTGAGCTCAGCATTTTCGGAGCAGTATGACGTGTGTGATGATGATGTGTGGCACGCCATGTGAAGCAGGCCAGTGCTCAAGAAGCCCTGGCAAACATCGTGCCATGGGCCCTTCGCTGAGTTCTTGATACCGTGTACCGTCTCGCGGCTAACAGTGCTGCATGCCGTGCCTGCCCGAGGTCCGCAGCCAGCTCCCTCTGAAGTTTCCGCAGGCCAAGCAGATGTTCAAGACACCGCCGCTTGCCATCAACGCAGAAGCCAAGATGGGGGATTTGCCCGGATACAAGGCGGGCGCATGTCGATCAATGTCATTTATTATTGTTTGACCGTTGTCGTTTGTCAGGCTGTGTGGAGCAAAGATGACTGCCAAGCGTCCCTGACATCATCTGGACTTTACGAAGCCAGTGGCCTCGCGCTGTGGCTGGCCACCGAAGCTTTTGCCAGTGCGTCTGAGGATGTGTGCTGGCAGGATCTCCAAACTTTCGAAGACGCTTTCTTCTCCAAGAAAGTTGCTTTCAGCACAGTTGTATCGCGTGAAGCTGCCAAGAAGAAACAAAAAACGTCACGAAACCGGCTGACGTGGCCTTGTGAGATGATTGTCCTCACGGAGTCAGCATCTGACGTGATTCACGAAGAGTTCAACAGCTCGTTGCATCTTGCTAGCGGCGTGTTTGTGTTGTGGGCTTGGTACTTGGCCGTCTTCAAAGCCCTAGTCTCCCAGGACAGTTGCTGCTTGTGTTCACATTACATGACATGTTATTGATTCATCTGACTGATGTGTGCTTGCACTTGGCAGGACAAAGCAGTTTTGGAGATTTTGTGGGAGTGTGGCTGCACTGTCACGATACAGGTTCGCTTGTGTTCCAGAGCAGGGGAGATTGCGAAGAGTCGCAATCTTGCTTCAGAGAAAGTCAAGGCACTCGGGCACCCTGGCCTGTCCGACACCTTTTGGACATTTGCAAAGACTGTCCAGCTGCTCAAGGTCGAAAAAGGCCAGGATGGTGAGGAACAGAACTTGAGGTACAACAACACCTTGTACAACAAGGCCTTACACCAGGCTGCCACAGCAGCTGTTGCAGTGCTGCGGGGTCCATCCGGTCCCGTGGAGAAGGCTGCCCGGAGATTGGAGCTGGCATTTGGGCGGGGCATCTTGAGCAGTCAGTACTCGAAGTTGAGCAAGCTGTTATCGCTGACCAACAAGCTCGCATCTGCTACCAGAAACGCTGTAGACCTGACGGCCTGGATGATCGACTCCTTGACGCTGGCCCTGCGCATGAACATGGTAACGCCAGCTAAATGCACCGAGAAGTTTCTGGATCGAGACCGGAAGACAGGCGATGCTGGCTTTTGGTTGTCGCGCATGCTGGTGGTGCAGGCATTGTAACTATTCTGACTAGCGTGTGTATTTTTTTTTTTTGCGGAGTGTTGCAAGTCATCGGCAGCTTGAACACTGACAGAGGTCTTCGATTATGCAGCAAAGCTGGCGAACGAGTTGCCTGAGCCGGACAAGGTTAAGCTGACAGGGATTTTGGCTGAACTCCGTTGCCCTTCCACATGTTGGGAGAAATATCTCTGCCATGCTGATGCTGATCAAGGGGCTGCTGGAGAGGACGACATGGACGGCGAGGACCCAGAGGACGTGGAGCGCCCTGTTCCGCAGTCCAAGATTGGAGCTGTTGAAGAGGGTTTCAACAAAGCCATTGGCATGCTTTTGGATTTGCTGCTGGAGCTGATGTCGGGGAAGTACTACAAGGATTGCTGCATGCTGGCTTCTAGTGAAGATGGCCTTGCAAAGGCATTGACAGCTGCACAGCTTGGAAGCTCGGATGACACGGAGCACGAGGAGCCATGTGCGCTTATCACTCAGATGAAGATCATTGTCGACAAGTTCGACAACAGCACGAAGTCCGTTGGTGCCACATCTGCGGCTCCTGCTCCGAGTTTGCTCCAAAGCCTGGCAAAGGCTTCTGAAGCTGACACACCCGAGGAATGTGTCGAGCGTGAGCGGCAGTGGAAGGCGGTGCAAACGGAACGCCGCAAGTTCGTGTCGTTCTCGGTACCGAACAAGATCTCGAACGACTGCCTAGTCAATGCGTTCAGAGGTTGCGGCAAGGTCTTCACGCACAAGGGCACCTTAAACTCTTCGCACCGCCTGATCGTTGCCAGTGCGGATCTCTTGTCAGAGGCTGGTACCGACCCGTGGCTCAAGGGCACTCCGCCAAGCGAGGAATGGAAAGAGATCTGTGCCTTTGCCAAAGACATTTCTGGGCCCGAGGATTTCGTTGTACTCTTCGACGGCAGAATGCGGGAAATTCGCCGCGTGTCCGAGTCTTGGCGGGGTGATGTGACAAGGCTCCCAGGCTCCAAGGCTCAAAGGCTGCACCTGGTTCTTTAAGGAAGACCTCCTGCTGAACCAGCAGCA